TTGCTGGTGGGACTGCAAATTGGTACAGCCAATATGGAAAGCAGTATGGAGATTCCTTGGAAAACTGGGAATGGAACCACCATTTGACCCAGCTATCCCTATCATTGGTCTATATCCAAAGGGGAAAGGTTTTGTTGATGTGTGTAAGAAAGTGATAGAGAGGAAATAGAGTATGTAATGGTACTGGAAAGAGATTCTATAAAATTGATAAAGGACCTGAATGAGATAGAAGGAATGGAATTGAATCATGAGAGAGATCACTGTTTGAAAAGAGGAGGCACAATGGTATAAATGAAAATAAGAATTTTTCCTCTTCATTTCTGCTGTTAAATCTTGAGTCCCTTAAGATCATTTTCTCTTTATTGTATATTCTATTTCATTTAACCCCAATTTCAATCACCATTTATATGTTAATGATTAATATATTTGTAATGCATTTCAATTCTCTGACCTACAGAATCAAAACTTTCAGGCTGGGGTTGTGGCTTAATGGTACAGCGCTTGCCTAGCATGTGTGGGGCACCACATACTCTATGTACTTTCTTTGTCCCTTGAATTGGTGGGATCTCAAACTCATAATGTCCCATCTGAATCTCATCTAGTGAATTTTATCTCAGTAAGTGATAGAAGCAAATGTAGGATTAGTTGCCTATGCTAAGGAACTTTGGGGGATCCAATTCCTCTTTTGTACCTCATTATCTCATTTTACCATATACAGTCCATTACTAAAATCTATGGGTTTTACTTCTTAAGAGCTCTTCAATTCACTCTGGAGTGTTAAATGCTCATCTTTGATCTGAAGTCCATTCTTCTCATTCAAGAGCTGAACTGATCTTTTCAAAATAGAAGTCTGATCATATAAAAAGAAAATATTTTAAGGATGTGCCTACAGTTCTTGCTAACTGTCTCTTTAGCCACATCAGTATAAATTCCCTTACTCTTTGAATTATAGCATTCATTCAGTCTCCTGTATTCATCATGTTGCCTTCCTCTTGAAGGCCAATAGTGAACTTATTCTTTAAATGTCACTTTTACCTAGATGTCCTCAATAAAGCCGTCTCACCATGCATCAGAGTGATATTAACCATTATAATAATCTCAGTTTTTAATTACATTCTGCTGGCAACCAATTTAAGGTACACCAGAAAACATAATGGGCATGGTAAGCAACTAGCACCTCATGACCTAAAGGGGCTCCCCTTCTGTCATGTTTTCAGCCCTAGGGTCCATATTACAGTAGTGTCAATGCAGGTAAAGTGTATAAGACAGTTTTTGAAGGCTTATTACTAGTCCTCCTGTTATTCTGGCAACATTTTTGAAGGAATGAAGTTTAAGGTCATTCCTGCACAGAGGGAGTCCTGGACCTCTGGTAATGTTTTTTACCTTTTTCCTGCCACTGTACTTAAAAAAGGAAACCACAATTCTGACTGCTAACATCATAGTTTTGTTTTACTTGATGTTTTACATTATAGTATGTACACTTATATTTGACTTCTTTTGATCAATCAATATGAAAGGATCCTCCTAATGTGTATAGTTGAGAATGATTTATTCTTATTGTTCTATAGTACTTTATAACTGTATTATAATTAATTACCCATTCTGCTGTTGAAAGTAATTTGTATAGTTTCCCATTTGTAATCAAGTGTTTTTCCAACATGATTTTGCCAAGTTTTACTAGGCGTGTTTGAGAATTTCAGTTGTTATTCATCCTTAACAACACTTAATGTTTGCTCTCTTCATTTTAACCATTCTGTGAGGGTTGTGGTATAACATTGTCATTAGGATTTGGACTGATGAAATTGAGCACCTGTTCCCATATTTGTTGGCTATTTGGGAGACCACCTTTGTGAAGTGTCTATCCATGACTGCTAATTTTAAAATTTTTTATTTTATTTCTTTCCTGTAAGGATTTGTAGGACTTTTAAAAAAATATTTCCAATATTCTGGCATCAATGCTTTCTTAATGTATTTTGTGGCTAGGTTTGCCTACTCCAAGATTCTGAAGATGACCTCTTATGTTTTCTTCTAAAAGCCCCGCTGTGTAATTTTAAACATTTATATCTACTATCTGTCAGAACAAAATTTTGTTGTGTGTGTTTGGTGTGAGGTAGGAGTAAAGGTGCATTTGTTTTTCTTATATACCCTGTTGACTAGCACTGTTTATTGAAAAAGATAATTCTTTCTCTGCAATATTCCCTCATTACTTTTTAGTAAGTAAAGCCATACATAATTAGATTTCTTTCTAGATTCTATATTCCATTAGTTAATTTGTGGTCCTAGAGTTCTTCAGAAGGATGGCTTATTATTTCTCAGAGTTTCAGTCACACTGAACAATCTTCCAAATTAAATCAGTGAACATTGCAAACTCACTCCATAAAATGGCTGTCCATTTTTATGACTTTGACTCCACAGCAAAATCTGTTTCTATCATCAAATGTGTAGGGTCTTACTTTGTGTCCTTTGTCTAGATTTATTACCTAAAGGATAGAGGGTCTGTTCTGAGCCTTTTTTTCTGGTATGTTTTGAGTATTGGAAGCAGTTCTTAGTATCTTTTTAGTGACTATAGTGAGGTTTTCTTTTTTTCTATTAGTTTTACTAGGGATTTAAAATTTTCATTATCCTTTAAAAAAACCCAACTTTTAACTTTTTTGTTTTTGGGTTTTCTGTTTACTATTTTATCAGTTATTGCACTTTTTATTTTCCTCCCTCTAGATTCCTTGGTTTTGATTTGCTGAGGTTTTGGTTCTTTTTTTCCAATAGAAGTTTAATTCTTTGATTTTCTACTGTCTATTCTACTAGACTACATATAGTAAGAATGTCATTTTTTCTAAGCACTTTTAGCATTTAATCTTTCATCATTTATTTAAAAGTATTTTCTAATTTTCATTTTGATTTCCTCTTTAATACATGAATTATTTAGGATAATTTAAGAGTGTCGATATCCTGAATTATATTGGATTCCAGCCAAGTGGGTGGTAAACCAGGACTGTCTAGCATAA